GGTAGGAGTTGGCAATTCCCCTGGATTGTCCTCATGTCTCCAGGAATTGAAGGTTGCTCACCAGGACATTGCAGGGCAAGTAAACAAACCCAGGACAATAATCAAAGGGGCACTAGCACATAGTGTTTCTCCCCCTTTATTGATCATTTAGTAATGAGCTTATTCCATCATTATTTCTTGGTTGTGTGTGAGATCATACATTATAATGTTGTAAGGAGTGTCTAGATATCACAAATCTGGCTATATAAATGATATTGCTTTCTTTTACCAACCCGGGCTAAGGTTTGGGGTGTTTCCAATCAGGATTTGTACTTATCACTTCTTTTCAGTGACGCCTGATGAAAACTGCATATGTGAGAACACAACAGGGCCCAGCCGTGATGCCCATTCGTTTCAAACAGCTTGCTGTCACTCACCACAAAGTCACACATATATTCGGGGAATATTGTCAATGCCCAATTGACAAAAATGCTGATTTGTCAAAAAGCAGAAACAAAAATTACAACACAGAGAGATGAATGAACACTTTGGTGAGAAGCAGTAAATGATGTGAGAGAGATGGGCTTCTGGAGATTTATAAAGAGCACAGAGTCCTCTGCCAAAAGTGTTCATTTGTTTGCTGTGTAATTAGTACATTATTAGATTCACATTAATTATATAAATCACGTTGTAGATGACAACTTTCATAACATGCAGTCAAATTTGTAAACAAATTCCTATACTGGTTTCCTAATTAATAGTGTAATTAAAACTACATTTTTAATTAAGACCATCAGAACGTCTGGCTTGCAGTTGTTTACTAAAGGGCAGCATGAGTCGCTCTTGTGAATGGGCTGGAAATTGTGCCAAAATTACTCCAAATCCTCCAGTTTTGCAGTGTCACCTTGTGTAAATCCAAATGTAAGACCTCTTATTAGTTCCAGTGATATTTAGGGAGTCTCTGGAGACTGAGTAAAACAGGCATCAGCCCTCCCTTACATACGTTAATAGAGAATAGGGGGCTGTCAACTCTCGAAGAGGATTTAAAGAACAAGCTCCTGCATATTATTGTGGGTCAATATAGGATAAAAATCATTAAAAAGATGTTTTTTTTACTTCAATACATTTTATGTTTAAAAACAATGAAATGTCAGGGAAGGGGAATCTCCTGGATTGAATGGGGTGCTTGGAGGAAAGAGACCATCGAAGAAACTGCGAAGGTTTCCTCCAGCCTGCACTGCAGCACCAATGAGGAGCCTAGAGACTAGCCCCTGTAGAACTAAGCTATGTCTGCACCTGCACAGACCAAATTAGTCCTTCAGGTTCAACTGCACTCTAACAGATCACAAAGGGATGACAGGATTGGCAGGAGTGCTGCGGTTAGGGAAACCCATGACAGACAGTTAGCTTTCTCATCTAGTTGTTTGAAAAAGAAGGAAGAGAGAGTATTCTTTCCCAAATGCTCAGTATCACCCCAGGAACTACCTGAGGGTAATAATCAACAGAGTAAGCGCCTCAACCCGTGGGAATTTGAAAACAGGTCAAAGCCAAAACTGATTCAGAGATAGTAGGAACTGCCGATGCTGGAGAATCTGAGATAACAAGGTGTAGAGCTGGATGAACACAGCAGGCCAAGCAACATCAGAGGAGCAGGAAAGTTGACGTTTCGGGTCTGGACTCTTCTTCAGAAATGATATTTCTGAAGAAGGGTCTAAACCCGAAACGTCAGCTTTCCTGTTCCTCTGATGCTGCTTGGCCTGCTGTGTTCATCCAGCTCTGCACTGTGTTATCTCGAAGCCAAACCTGTTGTTCATTGAGGAAGCTCTTTGACAGCACCTTCCAAACACTGACCTCTACCCTCTAGAAAGGCAAGGGCAGAATATACAGGAGAACACCACGACCTGCAAGCTGCCCCTCCAAGCCACATATCATCCTGCTTTGAAAATATTTCACCATTCCTTACTGTCAAAATCCTGGAATTCCTTCCCTAATAGCATTATTGGTGGCCCTACTCCTCACAGTATATGCAAGTGACATGAAACAAAATGTGGGAGGGGGTCTGATAAGTAAGTCTGTGGCTGACACGATGAAAAGCTGGGAGGTTGACAGTGAGGAAGAAGGTCTTAGTTACAGGAAGATGTAGATGGATTGGTCAGATGTGCAGATCAGTAGCAAATGGAATTTAACCCTGATAAGTGTGAGGTGTTGCTCATTTGGAAGAAGTGACAAGACAACAGAGTACTCATTGAATGGCAGGACACTAGGAAGCTCAGAGGAACAGAGGGATCATGGGATTTTGTCCACAAATCCCTGAAGGCAGCAGGTCAGGTAAATAGGATGGTTAAGAAGGTGTACGGAACACATGCCTTTACCAGTCAAGCCAGTAATTATACGAGCAGGGAGGTTATGTTGGAGGTATATAGGACTTTGGTTAGGCCACAGCTGGAGTACTGTCTGGAGTTCTGGTCACCTCACTACGGGAAGGATGTGATTGCACTGGAGGGGATGCAAAGGAGATTCACCAGGATGTTGCCTGGGAATGAAGCAGTTTAATAATGAAGGGAGGCTGGATAAGCTCGTTTTTTTTTATTCTTTAGAGCAAAGAAGGCTAAGAGGGGCCTGATTGAGGTATGTAAGATTATGAGGGGCAAGGTAAAAAGTAGCTGTTCCCCTTTAGGCAAAGGATCAATAACAAGGAGCATCATTTTAAAGGGAAAAGCAGGAGGTTTGGAGGGGATTTGAGGAAATAAATTTTCACCTAGAGGGTGGTGGGAATCTGGAATGTGCTGCCTGGCAGGAGAGTTAAGGCCGGAAACCTCACAACCTTTAAAAAGTACTTGGATGAGCACTTGAAAGGTCATAACATTCAAGGCTATGAGCCAAGTGCTGGAAAGTGGGACTAGTGTACATTGAGAGTAGCTTTTTGTCGGCGCAGACTCGATGGGCCAAAGAGTCTCTTCTGTCCTGTATGATTCTATGACTGCAGCAGATCAAGAAGGCAGTTCACCAGCACCTTCTGAAGGGCAATTAGGGATGGGCAATAAATGCTGGCCCAGCCAGCGACACTCACAGCTTGTGAATGAATTTTTAAAAAGGATCAGTCAGGAAAATGTCTAAGATAAGTGATCAAAGCTGTAGATAGGATTTGCTAGAGACTTAAGTAATTCATCATTGAAGAATCGAAAAGAAATACCAGAGAAAAATGCCTGATGGCTACAACTGGCCCATGTTCACGAGAGTAAAATATTCATCACAATCCATTTCACTCTTCATTAGCCTCAGCCACAATGTCTTGTCATTCTTTCTGTTCCAATTCATGTACTTATTCATCACATCTATCTACTTCTCTGCAACATTAACTCCAGGCAATTCAAATCCCTTTGCAATCTGTGATCTGTTTACATTGTCCTTCACATTAAAAATGCTATGAAAATCAATAATTACTTTTTAACAGGAACACATTTCCATGATTGGTTCTGTAGAAAATCCTTTTTTAATTTATAAAGTGTTGATTTCTCTGCTCCTTTATCTGTTCCTTTTCTTTCTAAATGTTTTTAATCATTTTGAATCCTCTCTGAATATTCCTGTTCCCACACACTATTCTACAGTAACACTTTCTGCATTGCTTTCATCTTTTATATGAGACAGCTGACCTTGTAGGTGTGATCCCCTACAGAATACTAAGAAAGAGCAGTTGTTTTGCACAGCAAACTGCCAAAAACAGCAACAAGATCATATGTCATTCAATGTTACAAAAACAAAAATTATTGGAGAAACTCAGCAGGTCTGGCAGCATCTTGGAGAGAGAAGGCAGAGTTAATGTTTTAAGTTCAGTACTCTTCTACAAAACTCTGCAAATGTTTTATTTCCCCTTTTATCCTCACAAGAATGATTCCAGGGATGTCAAATTTGTAAATGGGTTAAAGGAGTAAATGTCTTTAAAAATGAAATAACTGCGGATGTTGTAAATCAGAAACAAAAACAGAAATTGCTGGAAAAGCTCAGTAGGTCTGGTAACATCTGTGAAGAGAAATCAAAGTTAACGTTTTGGGTCGGGTGACGCTTCCTCAATTCTGAGGGTCACTGGTCCCGAAACTTTAACTCTGATTTTTCTGCACAGATACTGCCAGACCTGCTGAGCTTTTCCAGCAATTTCTGTTTTTGTTTCTGCGTTAATGTCTTGTCCATCACATTGTTAAGGTTTGATCATTTCTTTGTTAAGGTTAAGATAAACAGGCAACGGGTATTAACTGTCTGAACACATAAAAATAGGAAACAGCTGGGACACTGGTCATGTTGAACGAGAGATGTAAGACTGAACAAGTCAATTGACTCTCTATATAAAAAAAACTGTGTTTCATTGTTTCTATCTTACCAGCCTGCTTGGATGCTATTAACAAGAGGACTGTTTTCCTTGGGGGAGAGAAGATTTGGAGGAGATTTGATAGAAGCATTAAAACCATGAGTGTTCTGGACAAAGTAAATATGGAGATACTAAAACAGAAATTGTTGGGAAAACTTGGCAGTCTGGCAACATCTCTGTGGAGAGAAAGCAGAGTTAGCATTTCAGGTCCTTCTTCAGGACTGTTTTTGTTTCTGATTTCCAGCATCCGCAGTTCTTTGGTCTTTTTTTGTTAACAATGGAGAAACTGTCCTCATTGTTGGAAGGATCTAGAACAAGGAGTCACCAATATAAGATAATTGACAAAATAATGTAGACTAGCAAATTGGCCAAAAATTATTAAGATTGAGATGCATTGCCTGAGCATAGGGTGGAGGCCGGTTCCATTGAGACAATCAAGTTGTAGTGGAAATTGGATTATTACCTTTAAAAGGGAGAATGCACAGAGTCATGGGAGAAAGGCAGGAGAATGACTTTAAGTGAATTGTTCACTCAGAGAGCTGGCACAGACAAGATAGGTCGAATAGACTCCTTCTGTGCTGTAACAATTCTGTAATTTTTTTAAACAGGAATTTAAATGTTTGCCTTTATATATGTACTTGCTTTTCTTCTATTTCAGAGGAGTGATCCGAATGGATGTTAACCTGCAGAGCGTGGATATTGACCAGTGCTCAACCGAAGATAGTTGGTTTGCAGATTCCCATCAGTGTGACGTAAACAGCACAGAGGTAAGGATAGTTGATAGAGAGCTGGGTATGGAGTCCTCATGGTTTTATGGCTATTCAGAGGAATGTGTGACAGTCTGACCATTGGTTAAAGGAAAAAAAAATTCACTCTAAAACATTAGATTTATCATTGTACAGATTAAAATTATTTTACAGGTAGTGATATATTAATAGTTTGTTTCAATGCTTATTTGGTTAATGCACTATTCTCTATGGAACAAATTTCCACTGACCTTGGGTACAATTTGTGTCACATTAGCAGATTTCAGCCAAGGTAGCAATGCACAATCTGGACAATGGACAGTCATTGAGTACATTTAAGACTGAGATAGATAGGTTCTTGATTATCAAGGGGATCAAGGGTTACGGGGAGAAAGCAGGAGAATGCGGTGAGGAACTTATCAGCCATGATTGAATGGCGGAGCAGACTCAATGGGCCGAATGGCCTAATTTCTGCTCCTATGTCTTATGGTCTTATGGTAGCAATGGACAATCTACAATTGCCCTCTGTGTCTCCTCTGCTAAGAAAGGAGACAATTAGAATTAAATAGGATTCTTGCTCCTGGTCATTTCTGTGGGGAAAATGATATCGAGGCTTGTTGCTGGGAAACACCCTATGGTCTAATTGAAAGATAACACGTATTGTCTAGTTTCACACATACAATTAAATCTTGGTCAGAGCTATTCTAAGGAACATCTTGAAAGCTGAAGAGGGATTAAGATCGAAATTTTAAAAGTTAGAGACTTGGTAGCTGAAGGCATGGCTAACGATGTGAAGTGATTTAAATCAGGGAAGTTGGTTTTTATTTCATTCACAAAGTGTAACTAGGCTAGCTTTTATTGCCCAGAGGGCAGTTAAGTGTCAACCATATTGCTGAGTTTCTGGAGTCACATGTAGGCCAATAGATTCCTCCCCTAAAGGACACAGTGAAGCAGAGGATTTTTTCCTGACAATGGTTTCATGGTCATCATTAGATTTTTAATTCCAGGTATTTATTGAATTCAAATCCCACCAACTACCATGGCAGGATTTGAACCCAGGTCCCCAGAACATTACCAGGGTCTCTGGATTAATAGTCCAGCAATAACACGACTCAGCCATCACCTCCCCTTAAATACAAGAGGCCAAAACATGGGGAGGAGCACAGATATCTTCAATGATTGTTTGGTTTGATGTGCTTATGGACAGTCTCAATTTAAATATTCTCATAACTGAATTTACATTCCTGTACAGCCTTTGCCTATCCTAAAACTCTTTGAGAATTCTATGTTCTTCCATGTGTAGCTTTGACAGCATTCCTGGCAGTCCTTGTCTAGCCATTGGTGGCTATGCCTTAAGCTATCTTGGTCTTAAACTTTGGAATATCCAATGACTGCTCTGACTCTCCTCCTTAAGACTGTCCTCATCTATGTCTAACCCTCTGATCTAACTTTTGGCAGCTGACCAAATATCTCCTTATTTGGGCTCGGTCAAATTTTGGGGCTAACTCCCATGAAGCACTTTGGGATGTTCTGCAATACTTAAAGGTGCAATATCAATGCAAGCTCTTGGTAACCATTGTGAGGGCCCTTGTGTTATCTTGCAACAATGCCAGGGGATGTTTGATGTTCTCTGACAGAATGTACAGAACTCCCAGATAGTAAAGGGAATTCAAGCCCATGAATAAAACAAAAGCCTGTTTTAAAATTCACTCTGAAGCTGTTTTATTTTAAATGTCAAAGATAATTTTCATAAAAATACTTCTTTTCTCTGATAAAGCTGTTTTGAATTAAAGGATCACCTTCCCCCTGCCCTGTCTTTTCATTTGATTAACATAATAAATTCCTTTCATAAACAGAAATTATTCAAAAACTTAACATTCCAGCCCGCAGAAAATTAGCATAATTTGCTATTGCAACCTTGTCTATTCAACATTACTCACCTTATTATAACATTGCATTCAGCAATACTTCAGGTAGAACCTGAGACTGGGAACATTCTGGAATATTGCAAAGACATAGGCTCACATTTATAGGATCTGAGCTGTGAAATGAAAATGAATTTTTTTTCATTCAGGGAATGTGGGCCTCCTCCACCAGTGAACTTGCTCAGAGTTTCAGTTTAGAAAAGAATCTGGCAATATTGAATGCACTAAATTTAATGGAAAAAAAGAATCAAAGCAGCAAATTCCCAATTTACACTCTCTCAACTGGGTTTACCATCTCTGCTTGTGTGCAGTTCCGGAGGTTTGATCACATGACTTCTTGCTTCAAACAGCTCTGCCCCAAGCTCACGCCATTAGTTCTTCTGCTAGGCACACACCATCCTCCTGTGGTCAATTGGAAACAGGAATCTCTCATTCCTGGAGACACGAGGACAATCTTCAAAGGTTGGTAACGTTCCCTAGATTGAACCAACTCTGCCACTGAATTAGGGAAAAGGGTTGAGAAATTATTCATTTCCCCCATCTGGCCCCTATTGCTCACTCAGAAAAGGATAGGAAAAAGAATTCAACCAGGTTTCCTGCTCCTGTTCCCTCCTGAATCCTCCTCAAAGGAATCCACTAGTCCTGATTCTTTCATTTAATGGTTGACTCTTACTATCAGAGACTAAGGCGTAATGATACATCACTTGTGGGCAATTGAGCCCTAGCAAGAGTCAACATCTTCAGCAAAATCTGGAAGAGAACTTGGTGGGGATCCAAAACAGTGGTTAAGTATTCCTAAACAAAGCTGATGTAGTTGCAATTACGGAAATATAAATTGTCAGCCGTTGGTTTCAAGATGGAGAATGTAAGTGGGCAGGGAATGAGAGAGCTGGGACACATCTCAGTGATGTCGAGGACCTCATTAATAACAAGATGACGAAAATGGCAGCTTGACACATCACCAGGTCCTCAGGGAAGCAGGAAAGAAATTAAAATGCAGCAGGCAGTTGCATGAAGAGTTTTAATAGTATAACCTCCCCAGATTCAGTACAATGCAGCTGGCAGCCTGACATCACCTGCAGAGGTAGAGTGAATCGGAGACCTGCATATGTTAATAGGAAAGAAATCTAAATTCTGGGGCAGTTTTTTAGTTCCCTGACAGACTGTGTCCTTGAATCTTGTAGCATTTTGGAAGAGTTTTCCAAACAGCCTCTAATTATAATCTTGTTTTAAACTCTGAGGCTCAAATCCTAATTCTTAACCCCAGTGAAACTCTGGCACAGTGAGCTAAATTACACCGCATTTTGGCAAAGTGTGATTTTCACAGTTTCACAGTTCCACAGAAGGGTTCTCTCCAGAGAGGCCTACATATTTTCTCGCACTATCATCCCCAAACTTGCCTCATTAACTGGCTTCTCTGCCCAAATGGCATTCTTCTTGTCCAGTGCTAGCCCATTTCCCTCACTTGTGGTAGCTGGAAGTTCTCTCCTCTGCCCCAGGATATCCTGGGATATACTGACATTCCTGGTGCCATCCTCTAACCCCAGCCCTACTCCTGGTTGAGTATTGGCAATCTTAAGAGGTCCCTCACTGCCAATGTATTAGCACAGCAGCTGCAAGCCAATGTTTCCCATGACCCAGGTCACATGGATGACACTTCCTCGGACAAACGGCGATACATTCCTACACCAATCACAGTTTCAGCAGTGTACCACACAGTTTATCTGTCCTTCACCACATCTCCTCGTACAATCTTCTCTAAATCATTGCCTCTCATTCCCCTATGTCCACAGTAGCCCGGTATTGTATCACTGTTCGATGTGGGACCATCTCTCACAGGAAGACCTCAGTCACATCAAAAAAAAGCTTTATTTACAAACACTAAAAATATCTGCACTGTAAGCCCCTGACATTCGTTCTGGTGAGGACCTGAGGAATAATTTTTTCACAGACAGGGTGGTGCATGTCTGGAATGAGCTGCCAGAGGAAGTGGTGGAGGCTGGTACAACTGTAGAATTAAAAGACATCTGGATGGGTATATGAATAGTTAGAGTTTAGAGGGATATGGGCCAAATGCTGATAAATGGGACTAGGTCACATTGGGTTGTATGGTCAATGTGGAGGAGTTGGACTGAAGGGTCTGGTTCCATGTGGTATGACTCTATAACTCTATGACTCCCAAGACTTGACTGTGCTCTACACCACCACTCACTGCTAGCCCTGACTGACCAGATTCATGACCAATTTCTTTGGAGCTTCCTGACTGATGATCTGTTATTCCTCTGGCTGGAGCTGCAGGATTGACTATGCCCCATTCCCTGAATCCCTGACCCTGACCAACCCAAGATGACACTAGCCCTGACTGACTGCACAGGGTTCACTATTCCCCCATACCACATACCCCCCAACCCCCACCCTCAACTAAGAACTGACCCCACGCCTGAGGACTACTCCCATTTCTTTGTGAAACATGGCCATTTGGATGAAACCCATGCAGTGTGTTTGCTGTGTAAGCTGTTGGCACATGGTGCTGGTATGAGGTTGATGCGGCACTGTGCCTTACTGCTACATGTTCACCCCTTGACTGATCACTGCTGACCATGGCACGGTGGCTCAGTGGTTAGCACTGCTACCTCACCGCACCAGGGACCCGGGTTCAATTCCACCCTCGGGCGACTGTGTGGAGTTTGTACGTTCTCCCCATGTCTGCGTGGGGTTCCTCCGGGTGCTCCGGTTTCCTCCCACAATCCAAAAATGTGTGCAGGTCGTGCTAAATTGCCCATAGTGTTCAGGGATGTGTAGGTTAGGGGAATGGGTCAGGGTGGAATGCTCTGAGTGTCGGTGTGGACTTGTTGGGCCAAAGGGCCTGTTTCCACACTGTAGGGATTCTATGAAAATGACAAGCTGCATGGCTTTACATCTGCACTAAACAGCAAGGCAGGTCAGCAGTAAGGGGGAGGCAATGGCCTAGTGGTATTATTGCTGGACTGTTAATCCAGAGACCCAGATAACGTTCTAGGGAACGCAGGTTGGGATCCCACCATGGCAGATGGTGGAATTTGAATTCAATAAAAAAAATTCTGGAATCAGGAGTCT